AAAAGATAATAACATATACATTCAAATCCTTTAAGATTTTAAAATCTTTTAACATTTAAAAATTTCAAAGATATTTCATGGAATAGTGAATGATTATGTGAAGATATGCTTTAAGAACGTCGGATCAGTTTTAATTTTCGAGAATATCGATAATAAAAATTTTTTGAATTAATAAAATGTTAGAAGAATATAGATTGAGACAAAGAAACTGTACTAATTATAAAAATTTCACATTGTCACAAAATTTTGCGCGTATTTAGAACAATTTCGCTTAGGGTTGTTTAATTTAAAATGTTATTATGCGACTCGTAAAACGAAGTATAGCGATTAACAGTGATTATATGTTACGGTACGACCAGTTGATAATCGAATAATGATAATACTCATCTACAACGGCACATTCACCCTAATTTAGACGATGACCAATCATGGGGGGACAAGGTGGTCAGACGAGATTCTTACCGAGGCTATTTTTGACCAGATCGAGCTAATATTGACACTGCGATTACTCCCAATCACGCGGGATGTCCATACACAGCTATAAATATTATCACTTTTTATGACATCGTGGCACAGTAAATTGTGTGTTATTACTAATTCATTATTATAGTAATTATGCACAAATTATCTAAACGACAAAAAGTCTAAAATTGTGACATTTTTAAGTCTTTTAGGTGCAAAAAAAACATCTTATGATTCGACTTTAGACACTTTTTGTTATCTGGATATATTTGAACTTTTTATAATTGTCTGTCAAAGTTTTCTATTCATCTTAAAATTTTGAATTCCGATTTTACTTTCGATTAAATTTGTTCTTTTTCTTTTTAATATTTTGCAATTCAAAAATTGTGCATCTCACATTATCTACGAATTGCTTTGCGATTCCCTTGGACTTTAAACGGATCACAGAAATTATAGGATATAAGAAAAACTATTATTGCTACGCACACAACTTTTTTTTTTTTATTTCAAGAAATAGCGAACATGGTAATTCTCTTATTCAACGACAAGACATCATTAGTAGCAAGGTCGTTGTAACGATATATTTTTCTGTAGAATCCATTAGCGCCAGAGAGATCAAAATAATCGTATCCAGTTTAGGAACATCGTTTCGATACTTGAGATTACAGTGTGTTCATTTAGATTAGAATGTATCTGTACATATAAAAAGTAACGAAGATGCAAGTGTTGCGAATTTTTTCGTTCAGATATGCAGCCGATGTCACGTCGCGAAGATATATGACGCAGCCGATAAATTTATGTATTCATTTTCACGAAAAGAGAAAGAAACGGAAAGAGAGGAAGAGAGAAAAACAGCGCGTACTTTTGTATAGTAATCACAGGCAATCAATGCCGCCTCCTTTGTTCGCTGGTTCGAGTATTCCGCGAGGTAAAACCAGTTCTTGAGTTAGTGCTTTTGCTTAGGCTTGAATGCGTATACGCGTACTTATATGTTAGGTTGTAACAACGCTGCGTCATGGAGATCTGTACTCGCGAAAAGCAACACAAGTTGTAGCGAAAAGCAATATGATGGAAAACATTATGTTAATAATGTCATAGAAGGCTGCGAAGGTAGTGAAAGGTATACGTAAAGGTATGCTGCGCTATGAAAAAAACAAAAAAATACAAAACGAGAGAAGCTATCGATATCGAATATCCTCCGCGAGACGTCGCGCCAATTCGATCGTAGAAAATCGAGAAAACTGGCGTTGAAATTAAATGTATTATACTTCTCATTGATTTCCTGATTAATTTGAAATGTTAGAAACTTGGCTTAGCGCCAAGACACTACTGTAAACATTCAGCATTTCATTATTCATTCAGTTTCTTCACATGAGAAAAGCAACAACTATTCTCTCTTGTTATATTTTTCTTGAACACAGCAATCGGAATGTTCTTCCGTTTGCTCTTCAATGTAAAGTACAAATAAATTAAGGCTAAAAGAAAATGATACATTCTATTGAATATTGATCATATATCTCGAAAATTAATTAGTAAATTTTATAAGTAAAATGATTATGAACCTCCAGTTGTTTGCGGATTATATCTTATCATCTTATATACAATAGTATTATTTACGCACCAATAATTGTGAAAGCTCATAATTTATATAGAAAAGTAGGCTTGTGTAAATGCAACGCAATAAATTAAATGTCAAGGCTTTTTAAAAAACGAGCAAATAATTAACTAATTATATATATATATATAATATAGTTAACTAATAAAAATTCCTTTTTAATTACATTCGTATAACGCTATAATTTTAAACGTTTCGACTTACAAAACTTCATTAGTGATAATAAAGAAAACATATTTATGTAACCCCCATCCAATATCAACGAACTAATATCTGATATATAAAAATTATCGCTCTAAGCATTGCTCTTATTTAGTTATTCCTGCGTTAAGATATTACGGATCGAAGTAAGTATCAAGTCAGAAGTTTGAAGGTCCTTAATTGTAAAATTAATTGTGTTTAACTAGTTCTTCGGTTGTTAACGAGAATAAAGTTCAGTCGATAATTTCATATAAAACGTCATTTCGAATGAGAATCTCTTCAACGACTATCCTATTATATTCTGTACAATTATATTTCAGATTAAAAAATTATTATATTTAATTCAATATTGTTAAGAATTTATTTTTCACTTATGTTAATTTATGTAGAAATTATGTATAGTCAAATAATGAAATAGTAAAATAGTAAAATAATAGAATAGTCAAATAGTGAAATAATAAAATAGTTCAAATTGTGTCCATGTATAATGAAACGCTATTGATTGTCAGACGATTTGGAATGGACTAATATTGTAAATCATAGAGTTATAGAGTATATATCGACGTGTCACGAAATAAACAAGTATATTCTAAAATATGAAAAGATATGCTCACGTATATCATTAAATATGTATATAAAATCAGATTTATCCAATAATTCAGTATATTTTTCATTAAATTAATACCATTATTTTACCACTTTATGTAAATCATTTCAGAAATGTTTCTTCTCCGAAAATTTGTCTCATAATCTAAAATTTCAACATTTTCCCAATCAAAGTTATAATTGGAGCTAATAATGTGTTTTGTGACTACTGAATGTTTGGATTGATCTAATCTTACATTATTTCATTGTTCTTTCACTCTAGTTCCGAGCTGTCTCTTCGTTTGTTCGACATAAGAGACATCGCAATCATTGCAGTTAATTTTATAGATTATATTATTATTATCTAGGTGCTGATTTTTTCTTTGTGTGTCTTTATAAATTTATAAATTGTTGAGACTCTAATTTGTTGAGACACCCTATCATCGTTTTTGATTTATCTATTACATTGGTAATCTTATTTGTGATCGATCTAATATAAGGAAATATAATTATGTTTTTATTTATCTTATTTTCGATATTTGAGTTATTAGTCTCAAATTAGATCTGTTGACTGCTAAAGTTTTTAATCCTTTTATTGATGTGATCGAAAATCATTTTCAGAGGTTGTTTAATAAAATCTCAATAACAAGTTTTAAGTTCTTTTTTGTAAAGATGAATTAGATAACAACTTATCTACTAATCCGAATATAGTTTCAACTTTATGACAAGTAGGATGATTGAAGAAAAAAGACAAATATCTGCCTAAAAATGTTTTTTTGTGATACCAGTCTATAATAATAATTTTATTATCTTTGTTAATAATAGAATATCAAGAAAATTCAAATATCTCATATTCAACTGTGAATTTTATTCTATCATAATTATTAAACGTGTCTATGTGAGGAATCATATCAATTGGAACAATCATAAATATGTCATCAACATATCTATAATAGATATGACAATTGAGAGAATTCAAAACCTTCTCTTCTAAATCAATTCATAATTTATTTATATTTCATGTATTCTTGGAATCACAAAAAAACTATTTTGATTTATATTTATTTTAATAACAAAAATAATAAGTTATGTTGATGATTATAGTCAATGTAACTTATAGATATTACAATACCTATGAGAATGTAAAATTGAAGATGCCCGAGAATTAAGTTCTTTGAACTTGTTAATCAAGGAATGGTCCTTGTTCCCGTTCTTAGTCTCTTGCGGTCTTAAAGTTTCCGTATAATAATAACTACATGTGTACAGGTAGTCTTCGAGGATGAGCAAAGGATGAAAAAGAAGAAAATGATGAAAGAAAAGGAAGAGAGGCGCAGGATTGCTGGATAAAAATAGCATGGTATACCATCGCAAAATAAAAACTAATGATGCGAACCTGCAGAATGACGATCCCAAGAGCCAGACTTGCCGAGCAAGGAGAGGAGCAGAAGGCGAAGTACCAAGAAGCACGCACAGAAGTGAAGGAAAAAGGTTGTTTAAAAGGAAGAGTAGGATTTGCCTTTGGAGAAGGAAGAAATGAAACGGTAAATTTTATATTTTAATTTCATTATGTAGCAATTTAATAAAATATGTTGACGATGATTAATAGAGGCAAATGTAATGATGAATTTTCGCGACATGTCAAAATAGAAAAGACGTAATCTTAAAACTTTTAAATATTATACTTGGTCTCACATAAGGCTTGTTAACTATCTTGTCAACTAACGTAAATGCAATAATTGTATAACGTAATGTAATAATTATGTAATCAGCTTTACGTTTACGACAATGATCGATTGTACGATCGTTTCTTCTTTTATCATGTCTTTTATCATGTTATTCCATCAGCTACAGGGATAAGATGAGAAACTGTCGCGAGAGAGATATATGTATATCCTGGTAGATTACGTGGCATCCTTGAAAATCCTTGAAGATCTACATACATCGAGTATTCTCGGAATCATACGAAATGTTTGCAGTGCTTAAGTCGTCTTTAGGAGTCACATCACCGTCGACGTCGGCAGCCCGACGGATGGTGGGAGCTGAGCAAGCGGTGGTTGTGCTTGCAGTAGAAGAAAATCTCCCACCCTCTCAGTGATCGCGCGCTGGACCACGCTATTCGACTCTCCACCTTGTACCTAGTCTCGCCGCGGTGTACCATTGCAAGAGAGCACCTCCGTGTGGTAGCTCGGTTAAAAGTAGGTATTGCCGACCAACCAGTCTACCGGCCAGCTAGCCGGTCAGTCAGCCGATCAGCCAGCCAGCCAGCCAGCCAGCTCGAAGAAAACAATCCTTACGTGCACACCGTAACGTGCATACCGTGGTGCACACCGGTCTTATAATGACGCGGCGCGGTGACCGTTTTGGTACGATAAAAGTTGAGGGCAACCTTCGGGTGTTCCTGCGCTGGTTCGAGGAGAGCTGAGGAAAAAAGAAGAGGGAGTGGAACGAGTTCTCTGGTGCCAGTGTGCAGTCTAGTCCAAGACACAGGATGATAGCGAACGTCCGATGAGTATCCTGCTTCCCATTGCCCTCCTACTAGAGTGAGAGAGAGAGAGAGAGAGAGAGAGAGAGAGAGAGAGAGAGAGAGAAAAAGAGAGAGGGCGTGAGGAGAACGAAAAAGAGAGAATAGTTCTCCGCGGGTGACTGAGCTATACCGCCACTTCCATCTTTCCTCCACCACTATTAGCGGTAAGAAGAAGAAATGTCGAAACAAGAGGAAATGTCTAGCAGGTTAGTGCGCGATTATTACTATTGCATTTGGATAAAAGTTGATTGGGCAAGTAATGCTCATCGATGACTTTTAGATTACGGATTTTTAAATGTTCTTTCAATATTTATTCAGTTAATTTGACTTGGTTTAGTGAATAACTTCATATTCTTGTATCTTCTCTAAGCACTAGATGATATGTATTGAATTTGATGAACTCTTTAATCGAATTCTTTTTATTGATAGTGTTCCATAATTATTAACTCGTACAAAATCTAAAATTAATTTAAAATTTTTGCTATTAATATAAGTTTAGTAATATAAGTTTAGTAATATAAGTTTAGTAATTAAATAAAAGTTACTTCAGGATGTCATCATCATTTTTCGTTCACCGTTTTTAGTTTTTTCTGTTCTAACATTCTTATTTTTAAAGTTTTAACTTTGTTATTTTTGTAAATAATTTACATTGTATTTACGATTAATTATGTCATTAATTTTGAGAAATTTTCTTTTTTATGTTTATATTCTTAAATGTATTCATTTGCAACAATAATTGGTAATTAATATTCAAACGTACTAATTATTTAACATTTAGCGGCTTTATCTAAACCCGCATTAAAGCATGCATATTTATTTTTTAAGTTATGTGTGAAGTAAAACTTACAAACATCGTAAAAAGATAGGAGAGTAAGTTTCTTCAAAATCTATTCACAAAATGATAAAATTTCGTCCTAGACTTGAATGCAGAAAGAAAAAGTTTAGTTTTATTCAAGAAATATAAAAACAATTTAGATTTGTTGGTCAATTCTGTTAGAGTAATAATCTTGTGCGTCATGTATTTCACGTCATGCAATCTTATATGCTTGATTCGAATTGGATAGCAACATATGTCGTTATACAAACGTATATTCGTAAATATATCTGTTACAATTTATGCATGATATCATTTGTCGTCAGTATGCTATTATATTATATTTCCTTCAACTACTGAACGTAACTTGAGAAATAAAGATATACCTATATGCGTGCCTGGATAATATGTACACTTTCCAACTACAGACGAAATTTCTGTATATTTTACGTAGTATGACTATTCACGAGAAAATGCAAAAATCTTGTTGTTATTTGTAATGTAAAATATTTCATTTAATTGAAATAAAGAAGAGATAAGAAATGAAATTTAAATTGGAAATAATCAAATTTTTTAAAGTTTGCTTTTTATAAAATAAGAATTAATTATTAGATTGCTATATTACGAAAAATAGAACAAAAAAAAAGTGTGAGAAAGAACAAGAGAGAGAGAAAGTGCTTGTTGTTCAACAAAATAATTTGATTTAATCATATTACAAGGAACATGTAATGCTCACCTTTAAAACACAACAGGTTTATCAAAAG